ATATATATATATACACACACACACACTAATAGTATATACTATACTATTGTTACTATGCTCCAATGAAACACTAGTATGTGAAAATTTTATTTTTTCTGCCCAGACCTAGACTCAACCATTTCTCTAAAGAGGCCTGCTTCCTTTCCATGGGGAATGGTATTTAGAAATCAAGATGTGGTACAAATCGTGCTCATTGGCTAATGGAGTGGTACTGCTCCTAGGCCCTCTTGGTGGATACAGCTAGGATTCCAACACTACAGGATTTATTCTGGTCTTCAGAATTTCCATATTTTAATCTGTGATGAATTTTTTACAAACTGAACACATACACATAGCCATATGCACATCAAGAAACAGAGCTTACCAGCTCCTCAGAAGTCCCGCTGCTCTCCCAGTCACTATGGCCTCACCTCCACTTTCAGGCTAACAATGATACTGGCTTCTAAAACCATGATTTAGTTTTGTGTGTTTCTGAACTATTATATAAACAAAATCACACCATACCTAGTCTTTTACATATGACTTCTTTCAATCAGTATTATTTTTATAAAATTTGTCTACATTGTTACATGTAACTGAAGTTCATTCTCAGTGATATATGGTATTCAACTGCATGAATACACCAAATTATTTCCATTTTACCACTAACAGACATTTGGTTATATCTCAACACTATACCGAGTGTGCTATGTACATTTTTGTGAATGTCTTTTAGTGATGTATGTATACGTTTCTGTTGGTTTTATAGTTGAGGAACAGAATTGTTCAGCTTTAGCAGGTACTGTCAAATAATTTTCTAAGATGGTTGTACCAATTTAAACATTTTTTTTTAAGTAATAAAAATTGGGAGTACCCTATTATCCAATAGCAGAAAAATGGTTAAATATGTTAAGGTTTGCTCATATAATATACTATGGAATATCAATAAGCAGCAATAATAATATTAAACACACAGAAGAAATGCACATTACATACTATTTGACAGAAGAAACAAAACATAACCAGAAACAAAAACTTAGTACACCTCTATATAAAAACTAGGAGCTCTGGTAGCATAGTGGCTAAAGCACTTGACTGCTAACCAGAAGGCTGGCGGTTCAAACCCACCAGCCATTCCTCGGAAGGAAGGTTG